TCAAGGGACGTACAAACCAAGGTTCCTAACTCACATTCACACATACACATACTATGGTCGAATTAGACAGGATCCAATTAACCTACCAGCATGTCTTTGAAGTGTGGGAGGAAACCAGCATACACCCACGGGTCCTTAAAAAATTGACCTCTGTCACTTCAAAGCCATTATTTCTAATTTTTAGGGACTCTTTAATGACTGGCATAGTACCACTGGATTGGCGTAAGGCCAAATTGGTGCCAATATTTAAAAAGGGGTCAAAATCTTTACCAACTAATTATAGACCTGTTAGTTTAACATCTATAGTTGGGAAGATACTGGAGAGTTTCATAAAAGACCACATAGATAGTTCTTGTTGGAAAAAAATATTTTAAGCAACAGACAGCATGGATTCATGAAAGACAGAAGTTGTCAAACAAATCTGTTTTCTTTTTATGAGGGGGTGAGCAAAACCTTGGACAGAGGGGTGGCATTGGACGTGGTATACTCGGATTTTGCAAAAGCGTTTGACACAGTTCCCCACACATGGCTAATGTGTAAGGTAAAGTCTACAGGCTTGGAAAACTCTGTATGTAAATGGATAGAAAACTGGCCAAAAGATCGTATTCAAAGAGTAGTGGTTATTGATTCATACTCTGCATGGTCTAGGGATGTCAGTGGTGTACCCCAAGGTTCAGTGCTGGGACCCTTACTTTTTAATATATTTATAAACGATATAGAGTCTGAGATTAAAAAATCCCATTTCAGTCTTTGCAGATGACACCAAGCTGTGCAGTGGAATAATGTCCTTAGAGGATGTCTTCAACCTACAAGCCGACCTCAATGCACTGTTTAATTGGGCAACTATGTGGCAAATGAGGTTTAATGTTGATAAATGTAAGGTTATGCACTTGGGGGCTAAGAATATGCATGCATCATACATACTAGGGGGGGTACAACTGTGGGAATCAATGGTGGAGAAGGATCTGGGAATTCTGGTAGATCACAAGCTTAATAATGGCATGCCAATGTTTCTAAAGCGAACAAAATCCTCTCTTGTATTAAGAGGTATAGACTCCAAAGAGAGAGAGATCATTCTACCCCTGTATAAATCATTAGTACCACCTCATCTGGAATATGCAGTTCAGTTTTGGGCACCAATTCACAAAAAGAACATTGGAGAACTGAAGAAAGTGCAGAGAAGGGCAACCAAACTGGTAAGAGGCATGGAGGAGCTCAGCTATGAGGAAAGATTAGAGAAACTGAATGTATTCTCTCTTGAGAAGAGTGTAAGGGGAGATATGACCAACATGTATAAATACATCAGTGGTTCATATAGTGAACTCGGTGTAGAGTTATTCACCCTGAGGTCATCACAGAGGACAAGGGGGCACTCTTTACGTCTGGAGGAAAAGAAATTTAATCTCCCAATACGGAACGATTTCTTCACAGTAAGAGCTGTGAAAATGTGGGTATAGGATTATAACTTTTTTTTTTTTAAATGGTTGAACTGGATGGACTTTTGTCTTTTTTCAGCCAGACTAACTATGTAACTATGTGATTGGGTATTCTTTGAAAAGTGAAGCCTCAGCTCATTCACTAAATGCTGGAGGAAATGCCCTTGCAGAGTGCACAGTCTATTTTTCTTTAGTAAATCAACCCCACTGTATTGTCATCTCAAAAAGGAAAGTAGTTAATTTTTTTGGCACGGCAACAGTTTTTTTTCCTGTACTAGTGTGTTTAAAAGGATAAACATTAGGGAAATGTGCATGTATTCCAGAAACGTACAGAATGTTTACTTTAGCTTGACATATGCTTTACATTTCTTGTTGCCACCTTCTGATCTTTGTGCATGTGGAGGACACCAGAGAATTCTTTAAATTAATTTATTTTTAATCAAACTAAACATATGTTATAATTACCTGCTCTGTACAATTCTATTGCACAGAGCAGTGCCTTACCTCCTCTTCTAAAGTCCCCCACTGGTGCTCTCCTTTCCTATGGGTGCCCCCATAGCAAGCCATGCGCTATAGAGGTGCCTGTATGAGCATGCTCCCAAGCCGGACTGTGTGTGTTTTTAGACACATATAGCACAGCTCGGCCAACCCCCCCCCCCCACTCCCCCACTCCCTTCTTACGGGATATGACTTAGAGCAGCAGAACCCTATAGCTCCCGCTGTTGCCTGAGTCTCCTGTGACACCAGAAAGTGAAGGGAGAAGATCTCCAGCTGGGACAGCACTGGAGCCTGAGAGCTGATTAGGGTTGGGGGAAGCCGTTAGTGGGGAGTTGTTTTTACTTTAATGCAGGGAATGCATTAAGTTGAAAAAACATTTTAATGTAATGCTACTAAGAGAACCATGGGTTTATTAGTGCTTATTTAACTCATCCCAATTCAGGTTGTTGTGAGGCATGGCACCACAGGGGTAAATACAATTCGAAAGGACTGCATTATTTTTTCTATTCTCTTCTAAAACTTAGATCAAGTGAGGCTTTTAGATACTGTCTAGAATTACTGTACAAATTATTTATTCCTTAATAGCATACAACAACAAATTCTCTGGTAGTTCACAAAGTAGTCCATTGACATGGGTCCACGACTCTAAAGAAGCTTATATTCTAAGGTACCTACCACAATCATATACACACAATAGGGTCAATTTTGGGCAAACCTAATAGTATTTTTAGTCATTTTGTTGAAAGCTTCATTTCTTGGGCTGTATTTTTTTAAGTTAACTATGCAGTAATCGAAATTGGAATCTTGATTCTTTGAAGAGAATAGAACACGGCTTGTATGCCGGGAATTGAAAAGAGATCAAGAAAGAGTGAAGAGCAAAGAGGAGGAAGTATCACAGCATGTGGCTTGAACTTTCATTAAGCTTAGAAGAATGGCTGAAAATAGATTGCGTAAAGGAGATAATAAAAATGGCTTAAAAATGGCAGCATAAGGAAAATAAAAAAATAACGCTGTATATAATTTAATATAAATCATAGCTTCTTATGATTTCTGGAATAAAAAGATAATAATACTATAAGTTACCGAGCAACGTAGGACACACACCACCTCATCATTCATCAGCATACACTGAGTACGTTCTTTTCTTTTATTTAATTAGCATGGGAGTAGAATAACACAATCTATAGCGGTAATGCCCCAGGCAATGTACACATTAACAACACAAGGTACAAAATAAAGTCGCATTCAATAGTAAAATAAGGGTACGGTTCCCAGGCACATTAACTGTTACGCAGTGTGAAATTCAGGCCATGAAAAATTAAATCTTATACCAAGAAAGATGTTTGCTCTGGTCTTAATTTGACAGGTGGCTTTAAGTTGGCTTTCAGGAAGAATTTTCCCTAAGGCAGAGACTTAGTTGTAAAACGTGCTTAGATATATATTTTAATCTGATTCAAACATAGTATAATTTCTCTATCATCTTGGAAGAAAATGTGTTACTTCAGAAAATTATTAGGCAGGAGTTTAGGAAAGCTGCTTAAACTACGAGTCGTGGTCTTATGAAATATTAAAAATTGTTAGCTGTGTCAGAAGTCTCCAAACACAGTAGTCCTTTTTTAAATATTGAAAGTGGTGGTGTCCCACGCAGTGGTTGGTCATTGGCATTATAAGGAAGGTCAACCATAAGGCATGGTCCAACCGCTCTCAGGCTTAGCTGTCTCCTAGTGACTTCATAAGATGCCTGTTGAACTTTGCCAGGCATGCATGATTTATGGTATAGACATAGTAGATGGAGCCACTACCAAATTATATTGCAGTTACCATTCCAGTAGGAACCTACTCTAGCTGATGTTAGATGCACATAACATTGAGCTGATTGTGAAACTACCAACTTTTGGCTATGAGTGACTTATGTACATAAAATACTACCATAAACTTTGGAGTTAGTAAAGGAGTCTGGTCTAATGGTAAAGCATACTGTTTTAGGTGAACAACTAATGAAATCATTAATTACAGTTCATGGCAGTTGCTAGGATTGTAAAAGAACCCAGGCTCCTTTGGGCACATTCAGAAGGGTAGTGTTGTGGGGCATGTATTGTGCATGGCCAATGGCAGGTGTGGCCTACTCAAATTAAACAATGGAGTTGCCTAAAGAAGATTATTTAAAGTGGAACTAAATCCTCCTATCCTTTACAACCAATGAAGCTGGCATCTTAGCCTCTGTTTGGTCTGCAGTTGCTGTAGTGCTGCACATGTCATCAGTTATGACATCAGCCATTTCATGGCTTCACAGTTTGGTTGAGAGCACAAACAACTGTGACAGTTATCATTCATGGTATGTCTTAAATGTAACCATTTTGAAAAAAAAAATGAATGGGTTTAGTTTTGCTTTAATAGAAGAGAGAACATACACTATATTGCCAAAAGTATTGGGAAGCCTGCATTTACATGCACATGAACTTTAATGGCATCCCAGTCTTAGTCCGTGGGGCTCAATATTGAGTTGGCCCTCCCTTTGCAACTATAACAGCTTCAAATCTTCTGGGAAGGCTGTCCACAAGGTTTAGGAGTGTGTCTATGGGAATGTTTGACCATTCTTCCAGAAGAATTTGTGAGGTCAGGCACTGATGTCGGACGAGAAGGCCTGGCTCACAGTATCAGCTCTAATTCATCCCAAAGGTGTTCTATTGGGTTGCGGTCAGGACTCCACCCCAATCTTGATCACCATGTCTTTTATGGACCTTGCTTTGTGCACTGGTGTGCAGTTATGTTGGAACAGGATGGGGCCATCCCCAAATTCTTCCCAAAAAGTTGGGAGCATGAAATTGTCCAAAGTGTCTTGGTATGCTGACACCTTAAGAGTTCCCTTCACTGGAACTAAGGGGCCAAACCCAACCCCTGAAAAACAACCCCACACTATAATCCCCTCTCCACCAAACTTTACACTTGGCACAATGCAGTCAGGTAAGTACCGTTCTCTTGGCAAACACCAAACCCAGACACATCCATCAGATTGCCAAACAGAGAAGCGTGATTAATCACTCCAGAGAACACGTCTCCACTTCTCTAGAGTCCAGCGGTGGCTTTACACCACTGCATCTGACGCTTTGCATTGCACTTGGTTATGTAAGACTTGGAGCTGCTCGGCCATGGAAACTCATTCCATGAAGCTCTCTACGCACTGGTGTTGTGCTAATCTGAAGGTCACACAAGATTTGGGGTCTTTAGCTATTGACTCTGCAGACATTTGACGACTTCTGCACACTGTGCGCTTCAGCATGCACTGACCCCGCTTTGTCATTTTACGTGGTCTACCACTTTGTGGCTGGGTTGCTGTTGTTCCCAGTTGCTTCCACTTTGTTTTAATACCAATAACAGTTGACCGTGGAATATTTGGTGGCAAGGAAATGTCATGGATGGACTTATTGCACAGGTGTCAACCTATCACAGCACCACGCTTGAATTCACTGAGCTCCCGATAATGACCCATTTTTTCACAAATGTTTGTAGAAGCAGTCTGCATGCCTAGGTGCTTGATTTTATACACCTGTGGCCATGGAGGTGATTGGAACACCTGAATCCAATCATTTGGAGGGATGTTCCAATACTTTTGGCACTATAGTGTAGGTTTTCAAGGGTAACTTACCTGGTGATTTCCATAGATCCTGCACTGCTGCCTGCCTGTGAACTATCAGTTTAATACATTTATGACTAGATTAAAATAAATCTAATAATGTGTTCCTTTGGCTTCATATTTGTGCAGCTACCCTTAACTAAACGTCAATACAGAGATACTGGCTAAAAGCTAATATAGCAGCAAAATCTCAAAGTTTTGCTAAAGTACTAGATTTCACCTGCAAGTGGTGCTGCATGCAGAATCTAAAACGTGGTAGAACTCTTATGTGTTACTACAGTGAGGTGTTTTAATTGTAAAATCATGATGAAATACCAGGTGAAGATATTTTATACATTGTTATATGCTCTAATTGGACAAGAAGAAGAGACTAGGTGCTGATGTCATGCTCTCCATGTTTTAATCTAATCAGAGAATGCTTTGCATTCATTCAGACAATGCAAAGCATTATCTGAATGGCATCTGTGCCAAGCAGATGACCTCCTGTGTTCATAATGTATCAGGCCAGCTGCCCGGCATGGGTCCCAGATGCAAGTGGAGATCACTGGAGCAGTGATGTCTACTTCAGTGATTTCCAGCTTCCAGGGGTAACTGCCAGGTATGGTTTATACATAGTTACATTCGTCCAAGCTGGACCAATGTAATTATGTATAACATATTCATAACTGGAATTCCTCTTAAGTTAAAGGACCAGTAAATGCAAAGGTGATATTCCAGTCAAAAGTGGAGCATGGTGATCATCAAACGTTGGGATACTCCAACAGCTTGATCTTCCTTCCATAGTTTCCAATCCTGTCCATTTGGGAGTTTGGGGTGTTTTCATCCACCTTTGTGTGTTTCAGCTCCTTCTGTTGCATTATTCATAATATAAAGTAAACCAAAAAACATCAGCATGAAGAGTGGGAACTCCACACAGTTAAACAATGGTTTAACTTACATAGTTACATAGTTAGTCTGGCTGAAAAAAGACAAAAGTCCATCCAGTCCAACCAAAAAAAAAAGTTATAATCTTATACCCACCATTGATCCTGAGGAAGGCAAAAAAAACCCAGCAGAACATGATTCAATTTGCTCCTGCAGGGAAAAAATCCTCCCTGATCCCCTGAGAGGCAATCGGATATTCCCTGGATCAACTTTACCTATAAATATTAGTATCCAGTTATATTCTCTGTATCTAGGAAAAAATCCAGGCCTTTTTTAAAGCAATCCACTGAGCTGCCCAGAACCAACTCTTGAGGGAGTCTATTCCCCATTTTCACAGCTCTCACTGTGAAGAAACCTTTCCGTATTGGGAGATTACATTTCATTTCCTCCAGACTTAAAGAGTGCCCCCTTGTCCTCTGTGATGACCTCAGGGTGAATACCTCTACACTGAGTTCACTGTATGAATCACTGATGGTGATACATGGTGATCATATCCCCCCTTAATCACCTCTTCTCAAGAGAGAATAAATTCAGTTCCTCTAATCTTTCCTCATAGCTGAGCTCCTCCATGCCTCTGATCAATTTGGTTGCTCTTCTCTGTACTTTCTCCAGTTCCCCAATGTTCTTTTTGTGAATTGGTGCCCAAAACTGAACTGCATATTCCAGATGAGGTCTTACTAAAGATTTGTACAGGGGTAATATGATATCTTTCTCTGGAGTCTATACCTCTTTTAATACAAGAGAGGATTTTGCTTGCTTTAGAAATCCTCTGTGATGACTTCAGGGTGAATAACTCTACACAGAGTTCACTATATGAACCACTGATGTATTTATACATGTTGATCATATCCCCCCTTAATCTCCTCTTCTCAAGAGAGAATATATTCAGCTCCTCTAATCTTTCCTCATAGCTGAGCTCCTCCATGCCTCTTACCAGTTTGGTTGCCCTTCTCTGCACTTTCTCCAGTTCTCCAATGTTCTTTTTGTGAATTGGTGCCCAAAACTGAACTGCATATTCCAGATGAGGTCTTACTAATGATTTGTACCGGGGTAATATGATATCTCTCTCTTTGGAGTCTATACCTCTTTTAATACAAGTGAGGATTTTGTTCGCTTTAGAAACATTGGCCTGCCATTATTAAGCTTGCAATCTACCAGAACTCCCAGATCCTTCTCCACCATTGATTCCCCCAATTGTACCCCCCCTAGTATGTATGATACATGCATATTCTTAGCCCCCAAGTGCATAACCTTACATTTATCAGCATTAAACCTCATTTGCCACATAGTTGCCCAATTAAACAGTGCATTGAGGTCGGCTTGTAAGTTGGAGACATCCTTTAAGGACATTATTCCTCTGCACAGCTTGGTGTCATCTGCAAAGGCTGAAACAGTATTTTTAATCCTAGACCCTATATCGTTTAACTTGGGCATCTACAAAAAAACCCCCAAAAAACTGAAATATCAGTTCTTGGTGTACTGACCCTTTAAATAGGCTAATGTGCACAATGCAATAGCCAGTAGCAACCAATCACTCTTTTATCATAATTGACTTTACTACAAACCCGAAGTATAAATCGCTATACATTTCTGCATTTTTCTACATTGTTAAACTGGTTCTGCTTTTCCATTTAATTACAAGTTTATTTAAAAAAGAAATCTTGAAAATCCTTTATTAATTGTCTGAACGTGCAGCAGGTAATGTAGCATGAAATACTTGCTTGAACAATAACTACTGCTAAGATTCTACATGCAACTTTCTTATCCTTGTAGAAGGTCATTTGCTGTAAAAATGAAATTGATAGGTTTGTCTGCATTGCAGATAAGCATAAAACGAGCTGCCATAGGCCTCCTTCCCTGAGGAATTAAACAGGCAATGTGTATGTAGGAAAGCATGCAATATGTAGAAGTGCTCTCAGTGTCTTTGTAATCCTTGGAAATACATTTTACATACCTGCTTAGGAAAATAGAATATGTTGTTCCCTATATGTTGTTATATGGAATTTCTGGTTGTTAATTTCACAGAAAAAATACAGTTAACATTATCATGTCCAAAATGTTGTCATATAAACCTTATCAGTGAAGAAAATGACCAAAGAACGGTATATTTGTTGTGCAGTGAAATCACCAATGCCTAGTGATGTGTGCTGTAGAGCACATGAAAACTGCAGTACAGGTTATAAATTAATGATTCTCAGCGAGACCCGCTTGTATGTCTGCTGACCTGCTATGGAGGGAAGATGTGTATGCCGCAGTTTTAACTCTTATAGGTCTCAGAAAGACAGTAAAGAGAATAATGGCAACCTGTCAGAAAAAAAATCTTTTTTTTTGCCAGAGAGGAAACTCTCGATTTCTCTAACTGAGGCAAAATTTAAAAGGAAAAAAATTCCTTTTTTTTCTGTTTTTTAGAGGGTATTTCTGGTGAGTGTATTTAAAGAGCTTAATCTGTTTTTATATAGGCCCTATTCCTACTGACACTTTTGCATTGCAATGTATGCATGTATGTATGCTTTATAGCAGCCCATTCACCAGAAAAGGGCTGCCATTGCACCACAAAAAAAAAATAAAAATAAAAAAAAAAAAATATATATATATATATATATATATATATATATATATATATATGTACAGTATCTCACAGAAGTGAGTACACCCACCACATTTTTGTAAATATTTTATTATATCTTTGGACTTTTTGATTTTTATTTTTTATTCACTGTGTTTTTGGTGTTTCTAGTTATATTTTTACATGGATTGTGTATTTTTGATCATGTAGTGCAGCCAGGGGCGGACTGATCATTTGGAAACTCGGGCACCACCCAAGGGCCCGGGGTCAGTAGGGGGCCCCATCAGATGCCCCTGGTACCTTTTTCATAGGCTTTTTTGAGTTTGGGCAAGGACACAGGGGCCCCATGATCCCCTATTGCCCGGGGCCCCATGAGTTGTCAGTCCGCCCCTGAGCGCAGCACTTTTTTAAATATATATCAGGGCATCATATGATGTTCTCCCAGAACCGTGCCCCAGTGGCATGCACCCGGCGCTCTCTGTGATCGCTGTGTCATGACATGGTAAAGGGCCAATCATAACGGCCTTTGCCATGAGATTAGCTGTGTCCAATCACAGCTGATCAACACGTAAACACATTTGCCGGTTATCGGCAGTACTTTACTCACACTGTCACAGCGTGAGGAGAGGAGAGCCAGTAACCAGCAAGTGTGAATGGAGTCATCTACACTGATAATCAGGGCACTGATTAACAGTGCAGCCCCAAATGTGTACATCAGTGCCCAGCAGTGCTGCCAATCTGTGTCTCTCAGTACTGCATGTATACAGTGTGGTGATTGGTTGGAGCCTGTATTGGGTTGATTGATTTATGCTGCTGGTGATAATACTGCCATCCGGTGCCTAAAGGAGTACATTACTGGATGCTCATGAAACCTGGTGCGGTTGTGCACCTACTGAATGTGAGTGCATTTCTTATGGTTTTTGTGCAATAAAAAGTTTTAAAGGATAAAGCGCTATGTTTAGTTTTTGTTTATGAGGCATACGGCTGACCCTGGGCAGTTATCTGGAGTGGGCGTCTATGGAGATATTATTCAACAAGTTGAACATCAGAGTCCATACTTTTGGGACCAAAAGTGCAGTTAGACCAAAACATTGTATAATGTGAGATCATACTGCTGGAGGTGAGCAGGTTTATGGTGGAGGAGAGTTTGCACCTCCATCTTGTGGTAACTGCACATGGCGGTCATAATCTTAAGGAGTTTCCACAGAAGAACACTATTTGTTTGGACTTTTTATTTTTATTTTTGATTCACTGTCTGTGTTTTTGGTTTTTCTAGTTATATTTTATATGAATTGTGTATTTTACATCATGTAGTGCAGCACTTTTTTACATATATATATCAGTTCACTATTTAGCCTATTGAGACATGGGTTGTGTGCACTAGCGGCTACCGCATTTA